GTCGAGGCTGCAGTGGCCGGGAGTGGCCACTGCACTCCAGTCCGGGCGACAGAGTGAGACTCCAACTCAAAAAAGACAAAACCAGGATTTGAATCCAGAGCCTATTATTATTTGAGTCAGAGTCTCACTTTGTCACCCAGGCTAGAGTGCAGTGACACGCTCATGACTACCACAGCCTCAACCTGCTGGGTTCAGACGATCCTTCCGCCTCTGCCTTCCAAGTAGCTGGAACTACAGGTGCACACCACCATGCATGGCTAATTTTTTATTTTTTTGAGTTGGATTCTCATTCTTGTCGCCCAGGCTGGAGTGCAGTGGCACACTCATGATCATCACAGCCTTGACCTGCTGGGCTTAGGCTTAGGCAATCCTTCCACCTCAATCTTTCATGTAGTTGGAACTACAGATGCATGCCACCACACCCGACCAGTTTTTGTGATTCATTGTAGAGATGAGGGCTCACCAAGTTGCCCAGGCTGGTCTCGAACCCCTGGGCTCAGGCCATCCTCTTGCCTCGACCTCCCAAAGTGCTGAAATTACAAGCTGAGCCACTGTACCCAGCCGTTTTTGTTTTTTGTTTTAATTTATTGTACAGATGAGGTTTTGTCATATTGCCCAGGCTGGTCTTGAACCCGTGGGCTCGGGCAATCCTCTCGCCTCTACCTCCCAAAGTGCTGGGATTACAGGTGTGAGCCACTGCACCCAGACCACAGTCTACTTGCTAGTGTGTGTTAACCACTTCCCTGTGACCTAAGACTGACTGTGGATTCTGGCAATGCTTTAATTTGACTTTTGAATTGAGAGTCTGGGTTTCTAAAAGGCCATACATGCTGGGCACAGTGGCTCATGCCTGTAATCCCAGCACTTTGGGAGGTGGAGGCAAGAGGATTGCCTGAGTCCAGGGATTCAAGAGCAGCCTGGGCAACCTGGCAAGACCTCGTCTCTACAATACAATCAAAAAAATTAGCCAGGTGTGGTGGCACACACCTGTGGTTCCAGCTACTTGGAAGGTTGAGGAGGAAGGATCACCTGAGCCCAGCAGGTCGAGGCTGTGGTGGCCATGGCATGCCACTGCAAAAAAAAAAAAAAAAAAAGCCATGCAGTTCAAGACTGAACGTTGATTTTCAGATCCTAAGACAGGACCAGCTACATAATTGGCAGGGCCTGGTGCAAAATGTTCAAAATTACTGAAAATTTCAAGATGGGGTGAGGAGATCATTCAACAGAGTGGGGGCTTCTGCTCGGTCACTGGCCTGTGAAGCAAAGTGGTAGGTGTCTAAGCCCTATACTTGCTGACACTGAAAGGCCATCAGTCCATATTCTTCTTGTGCACCCGCTGTGACCCAGGCACTCGCGACTTCAGTTGCTGGGGACACGGCAGAAAAACAACTGCTGTTCCTGTGGGCTGACCTTTTAGGGGAGAGACAGTCAATAAAGCAAAGGGGACAAGTGTCATCCCTTGTAGATGATAGAGACAAAGCAGAAGAGGGCATGGCGAGTGACTGGGGTTGCAGTTTTATTTATTCATTTTTTAAATTTTTTTCTAATTTATATTTATTTATTTATTTATTTTTTTGAGTTGGAGTCTCACTCTGTCGCCCAGACTGGAGTGCAGTGGCTGCTCCCGGCCACCGCAGCCTCCACCTGCCGGGCTCCGGCGATCCTTCCGCCTCAGCCTTCCAACTAGCTGGAATTACAGGCGCGTGCTATCACGCCCGGTTGATTTTTTGATTTATTGTAGAGATGAGGTCTCGCTGCCCAGGCGGGTCTCGAACCCGCGGGCTCAGGCAATCCACTCACCTCAGCCTCCCAAAGGCGCGGGATTACAGGCTGAGCCACCGAGCCCGGCTTGGGGTTGCAGTTTTAAACAGGCAGATCGAAGAAGGCCTCAGTGAGAAAATAGCGTTTCTGGGGAAAAGGAGCCATGTGGAGGGTGAAGGCGGAGTGGCGAGAGAGACCTCGGAGACCCCCGAGGAGGGGGCTTTGGGAAGAGGAGGGAGAGTGGAGGTCCAGGCAGGGATGGGGGCTGCAGGAGGATGGAGACAAGGAGCGTCCATGTTGCCCTTGCCCACCCAGCTCTCCCTGGATCTCTTCTACACGGAGGACGAGATCTACGAGCTTTCTTATGCCCGGGAGCCCCGAAGTCCCAAGAGTCTGGTGAGACCCAACCCCTGACCTCTGACCCCCCCCCAAGCCTATGCACTGACTGACTGTGCTCCTCTGTCCCCACCCCAGCCACCTTCCCCCTTCAAAGCGCCTCTGGTGGTCGAGTGGGCCCCTGGTGTGACACCCAAGCCAGACAGGGTCACTCTGGGTCGGCATGTGGAACAGCTGGTGGAGGTAAGGAGGGACAGTGGCCCAGCTGCTGGGGACCGGGAAGGAAGACACCGGTATATCCCTAAACTGGAGGAGGGGCCCCAAGGCCATCGGACCACGTCTTGACGATTTGGCCTTACTCTGTCAGTCCGTGTTCAAGAATTATGACCCTGAAGGCCAGGGAACCATCTCTCAGGAAGACTTTGAGCGACTCTCAGGCAACTTCCCCTTCGCCTGCCATGGGCTTCACCCGCCCCCCCGCCAGGGGTAAGTGGTCCTGACTCCTGGGTCCCCCGAAGACCCTGGGGTCTGGGGGAGGCAGGGTCAGTGGTGCTGAGCCTGTCCCTGCCCACAGGAGGGGCTCCTTCAGCAGAGAGGAGCTGACAGGGTATCTGCTCCGAGCCAGCGCCATCTGCTCCAAGCTGGGCCTGGCCTTCCTGCACACCTTCCACGAGGTCACCTTCCGCAAGCCCACCTTCTGCAACAGCTGCAGCGGCTTTGTGAGCACTCTGCCCTGTTAGCACCCTCAGGGCCCATCTGTCCTGGAGTGCTGACAGCCCCCAAGCCCCAGATAATCCCCAAATTCCAGAAAACCCTCCAGGCTCAAATAACTCACATTTCACATAAACCCTAAACACTGGACATTCCCTGCATCTTGGATCAGCTCCAAATTCTTGATAAAGCCCCAATTCCAGGTAACCCCCAAAACCCGCATCATCTCCGCCCTGGACAATCAGTAAGTCATGGAAAACATCTAAATATCTGGATAATCTCTGCAACTCTGGGTCCTCTGTAAACCTGGGTAGGTTATGCCCAAACAGAATCAGCTTCCAAATCTCTAGACTCCAGGTAATTGAAACCCTGGGTAGCTCCCAAATTCCAGGTATTCTCACACTCTGGATAAGGCACAAATCTCTCACCCTCAAAGCCAAAACTAGTTCACACACCTTGGATTACTTCCAGATTCACTGGTTTATTCACTAAATATTTACCGAGTGCCTCCTATGTGTCAGGCAGCTTTAGGCTCTGAGAACCATTCAAATGCCCATAGAATTTGCATTTCATTAACTCCAAATTTTACCTAATTCTGATATCTGAGATGAGTCCCCAAACTTGAGATAATCTCCAAGTTCCTTTAGTCCCAGTTAAATTTCTGGCCTTAAGAATTTTCAAGCCGGACATGGTGGCTCACACCTGTAATCCCAGCACCTTGGGAGGACAAAGTCAGAGGACTGCCTGAGCCCACAGGTTTGATACCAGCCTGGGGAACTTGGCAAGCCCTCATCTCTACAAAAAGTCAAAAAAAATCAGCCAGGGCCGGGCTCAGTGGCTCAGCCTGTAATCCCACGCCTTTGGGAGGCTGAGGTGAGTGGATTGCCTGAGCCCGCA